AAGTGAGCGCAACGGGCCGATGCTGTGCCGATCCGAAGCCAGGAGCCTCTTCCAGGTCTCCCACGCGGGTGCAGGGTCCCAAAGCTTTGGGCCGTCCTCGACTGCTTTCCCAGGCCACAGGCAGGGAGCTGGAAGGGAAGCGGGGCTGCCGGGATAGAACCGGCGCCCATATGGGATCCCGGGCGTGCCAGGCGAGGACTTAACCACTTGCGCCACCGCGCTGGGCCCTCAAAACAGTTTTTTTTCCTCATATTATAGTTTTCACTGATTCAAAGACCATATAATAGCGTCATTTTCTGCAAGTTCTTGATTTTCTTCTTCAGTTCTTCAATGGTGCATTAGTCATTCAGTAGCATGTTATTTAACCTAACGGCGTTGTAAATTTCGATTTTTCTTCCTGTTGTTGATTTTGTTTTGTGACTTTTCATTTAAGGCGATGTATAGTAACTGTGACTTGAAGACTATTATATCCAGATGTGAGGATACAATGCAGTATCCTGCTTTACTTCCAGATAAAAAATGGACTCCCAATGAAACTGTTCACTGTATTTTGACTATAGGATGCTGGATTCTGCATTGTCCATGTCTGTCATGATGGACCCGTGACTGCTTATTAAGAACTATGCTATTGTAATACTACAGAGGAAATCAGTGTGTGTGGGGAGGTGACTTGAGGAGGGTGTTACAGAAATCCTAGAGCCTATGAACTACATCATATAATAATAATAAGTAAAAAAATAAATTAAATCAAACTTTTTCTTATCCAACAACTCAGCGGTATAATATCATCATCAGCATCCCAAATAAGCATCATTTTGTATATTCTTAAAAGTTTTTTTGGACAGGAAGCTCATTATTTAGAGAGGTAACTGTGTATTATGTTAATTATTAATGAGCAACTCGATGACATCAAGAATAGGCTTCTTTTCTTGCTGTAGATGCACAAATCAATTCTCTCTCATTTTTTACACGACAACTTTGTGAGTATTTGTAGAGAGTGATCCTGTCAGCCTAGGATCATTTCTTTTTCAGGTTAAACCTTTCTGTATCTATTGGGCTTCTCATTCTATCACCCTCCTTATTATCTGGACCAATTCCAGTTAAGTCGTGTTCTACTTAAAGTATAGGGCTTAGATTTTTGTTGTAGGGAAAGTGCATCTACTATTGCAACTCATCATCTTTACACATATAAGAGAGATAATCTGGAGCAGTCACTCTTTCTTTGACCTCCTATAATTAACCCTTCTGTTGTATAATTAAAAATAAACATATATCAGGGACCGTATGTTTCCCTGTGGAACTGTTCTAATTCATCTTTGTCCTCTGGCTACCATTTTACATAAGATATCCATAGGGCAGTTAATTTTGGAAACACATATGATAGAAAATTGCAGTTTAGTTTTTCTTAACTTACTTCAGCCAATCTTTCTGACTACATTCAGGGATAATTATAACCTGTTTATTCCTTCATCCCTGATTCCATGTATAAGCAATAATGAAAATTAAACCTACAAAATGGCATAACATAGGTTAACTCTGTCCTAAGACCTATCTAGTTTATTCCTATAAACCAAGGTGACATATTTTGAATCAGGGGAATTTTGACCTATTTTGTCTCAAAAAGACCATTCTTTTCTGGATTAGAGAAATCTAAGGGAGCCAACACTGTCATATCTGAGCAAGTTTTTGTAGGTTTTTATGGACCCTTGATTATGAATTTCTGATTTTCAGGGAACTCATAATTTATTCTTTTATCAAGACCACTGAATTCAAATCACTTTGTTCCTCTGGCACTTTTATGTAAGTCTTAGGTGATTTCCATATGGTTTACTGTGTGGATTTTTAATGCTCATTGATTTCTTTCTAATCTGCACTCCTGTCCATTCCTCAGCCAGTCACATATTTTTAAATACTCTTTATATGATGACATTAGTGCATTCAAAATGTCTATCTTCTGTTAAAATATGTCTTGAATTTTGCCATCCATGGTTTCAAATTCACCCCAAAGTGAGCTCTGCTTTAAAGTTATAGAATGACTGCTGGCACTCATCCAGACTATAGTCTTCCTTGCTGCTATCTATTAGAAAGCAGATCCTTGGTCTCAAGGTCAACTTGTTATCAAAGAATTTTTCCAGAATAAATAATTATGTCATTTTTTTTACTTTGTTATTGTGATGAATTACTTTTATACATTTTGCTAATATGAAAACACACTTGCATCCCTAGCATATAATCAACCATTAGTAATACTTCATGTAAGATTTATGTGTTTGTAATCATAAATGACATGGACATGCCATTTTTCTTTCACATGGTATTTTTGCTTTGTGTGATGGTTATGCTTCTTTCAAATAGTTAAGCATTCCTCCTTATATATATATATTTTTTTAAATCAAGATAATCTCCTTTGAATGTAGTCAAATTTGCCTGTATGAATGGGGCACTTTCATTGTAATAAAATGTATTTTTAAAAATACTTTATTTATTTTTATTGGGAAGTCAGATTCACAGAGAAAAGGAGAGACAGAAAGATCTTTTGTACACTGATTCAGTCTCCAAATGGCCACAACAGCTAGAACTGATCTGATCTGACACCAGGAGCCAAGAGCTTTCCACATGGTGCAGGGTCCTAAGACTTTGGGCCATCCTCTACTGCTTTCCCAGGCCACAGCAGGGAGCTGGAAGAAAAGTAGAGAAGCTGGGACACAAACCGGAATCCACAAAGGATTCTGTTGCTTGTAAGGTGAGGATTTAGTCACTGAGCCCTGGTGCTGGGCCCTTATTGTAATATTTCTCTATTTTGCTTTAATTCATTTCATAGTTTAAAGACTGTTTTGAGTAGGTATTGTGCAGTTTAGGTCAAACTTCTTATTGGATAAAATTACTTTCTATATTCTAATGACTTTTCATTTTCTTCACCTAATTGAGAAAAGTGTGTTAATATCTTGTATGATGTGCATTTGTCAAACTTCTTGCTGTAACTCTATCATTTTTTGCTTCAGTATTTGATGCTATTTATTAAGTGCTGATATGTCTAAACATATTTTTTTTTAATTTTAGAGTGATCACTTGTTAAGTAATAATCCTGTCTAGGCCCAATATTATCTAGTGTGAGAGTTTATTTAGTTTGAGATTAATGTATGCACATATTTTTTATTTTAATATTTGGCTAACAGGCTTTGCTCTACCCCTTTATTGGTTATAATATGTTATTTGTGATACATTCTAAACATCTGAGTTGTTATTGAAATTTAGCAATTATTTTAAAAATGTATATGTAACCTCCAAATTATTGTTTCTAACCATTTATCCTTTAGTTCTATGTGGAAGTTAATTCAAAGAGATTTTAATTACTCAGTGGCCTATAATATAGGAAAATTCAATTATATACATTGATTTGGAGGATTGGTTCATAGTAGTTTTAAATTATTCAAGCTCATTGTAGGCACAATTCCTGCCACCCATCCTGAGTCCCATAATTTTATTTAATCAAAGCTGTCAGTCATGTGAACCAATGTTGTGGTGTATCAGGTAAAGGTGCTGCTTGCAAAGCCAGCATCTCATATGGGTGTCAGTGACCTGGCTGCTCCATTTCTGATACAGCTTCCTGTTAATGGCCTGAGTAAGCAGCAGAGAATGGCCCAAATCCTTGGGGCATTGCACACTCATGGAAGTTCAAGAAGAAGCCACAGGTTCCTGGGTTCAGCTTGGCCCAGCTCTGGCCATTACACCCATTTGGGGACTGAACCAAGGAACCAGTGAATAAAAGATCTCTCTCTGTCTCTCTCTCTCTCTCTGTCTCTCCTTTTGTCCCTGTAAATTTTCCTTTCAAATAAAAAATAAATTTCTTTTAAAATAACTCTTTTCTTGTAATTTTGGATGTATGATCTGTATGATGTTTTTTTGAATTCTATTGGCTAGGATTTTATTGAGAATCTTGGCATCAATGTTCATCAGGGAGATTGGTCTGTAGTTCTCCTTCTCTGTTAATTCTCTATCCAGTTTTGGGATTAGAGTGATATTGGCTTCCTAGAATGAGTTTGGAAGGGTTGCTTCCTTTTCTATTGTTTTGAAAAGCTTGTAGAGGATTCGGGTTAGCTCTGCTTGGAATGTTTTGTAGAATTCTGCAGTAAAGCCATCTGGGCCTGGGCTTTTCATTGTTGGGAGATCTTTAATCACTGATTCAATCTCTGCTTCAGTTATAGGTTTATGCAGGTCTTCTGTTGCTTCTGAGGTGAGTTTTGGTAAGTGGTAGGAGTCTAGGAACCTTTCCATTTCCAAGTGGTTATCTGATTTGTTGGAGTACAGCTCTTTGTAATAATTTCTGATTATTTTCTTAATGGTTGCAGTGTCTGTTGTTATGTTGTCTTTGTTGTCTTTGATGCTGCTAATTCTCGCTTTCTCTTGCTTTCTCTTTGTTAATCGGGCCAGTGGGGTGTCTACTTCATTTATCTTCTCAAGAAACCAGCTTTTTGATTAATTGATTTTGTGTATAGTCTTTTTGATTTCTATTTGACTTATTTGCTCCCTTGTTTTGATAAATTCTTGTTTCCTCTTGTTTGTGGGGTCATTCTGTTGCTGTTTTTCCAATTCCTGGAGGTGTGTGTTTAATTCCTGTATTTGATTCCTTTCTTGTGCCTTGACATGAGCATTAATTGCAATAAGCTTACCACGTAATACTGCTTTGGCGGTGTCCCACAAGTTTTGGACCGTTGTGTCTGAGTTTTCATAATTTTTTTTTATCTCATCCTTGATTTTTTCTCTAACCCATTGCTCGTTTAATAGCATATTGTTCAACCCTCAAGAGTTTACATATTTCCTGGGGCATTTTGAATTGTTGATTTCCAGTTTCATTCCGTGATGGTCTGAGAAGGAACATGTTATGATTCTGACTTTTTTGTAGTTAAACTTGATTTGTGTCCTATCATGTGGTCTATTCTAGAGAAGATGCCATGCACTGCTGAAAAAAACTGTATACTCTGCGGCCTTAGGATGAAATATTCTATAGATGTCTACCAAGTCCAATTGTTCTATTGTTTGTGTGAGCTCTGTAGCTTCTCTGTTGAGCTTTTGTCTCATTGATCTATGTCAAGTTCCCTGGCAATAAAGGAAATCCAAATGAAGACAACAGTGAGGTACCACCTAACGCCAGCAAGGATGGCACACATACAAAAAAACAGCAACAATACTTGCTGGCGAAGATGTGGGGAAAATGGAACCCTACTCCACTGCTGGTGGGACTGCAAATTTGTACAGCCTCTATGGACATACACCTGTTCTACAAGAAACCAACATGCACCCCTATGTTTATAGCAGCACAATCAATAATTGCAAAAACATGGAAGCAACCAAAATGCCCATCAACAGAGGACTGGATAAGAAAGCTATGGTTCATATACTCCATGGAATACTACTCAGCTATTAAAAAAAAATGAAATGCAGTTCTTTGTGGCCAAATGAGCCCAACTGGAAACCATAATGCTAAGAGAAATGAGCCAATCCCAAAAGATTAAATACCACATGTTTGCCTTAATCTGAGATGAAAAGTTGTTAATCTGGAAAATAATACCTGTATATTGTAATATTATTGCAATCTCAAATAGCATGTATACAGTGCAATAAGATAATGCATTGTAATGTATAAAACAACAATTAATGTGAGTCAGAATGCTTATGATCTACATCAAGGAACTGTAAAACCTAAAACACTCTTAATACCTTATGTTACTTCGTAATGGGGAGGGAATGCAGAGAAATCTTCCATCTTCCTAAAAAGTGTGAGGAAGACATGAAATATAGCCTATCAGGATCAAATCTGATAACTCATAGACAACAGACTCGAGTCAGCACTAGAAAATAGTAAAGCTACACAGGCATAAGGGGGGAATCGGGAGCGACCCTGAAAGCCTCTTCACAGGAGGTGCGTATGGAGCAGGGGGGAGACCCAGAGTGGAGCGGGAGGTCAGGGGGAGGTTCATATCCCAACCCTGAAGACTCCCAGATCCTCACCAAGGACTATCAGTATGGACACCAAGGACTACATCCCAACAGAAGGCCACGGGGAATAGGAGTGACTTTGGAGGCCGAGAAGTCTGAGGTCACCCACCCCCATCTGGAACATCCACAGGGGATGGAAGATGTCCAAACTCTGCCATGAAAAAACCAGCACCATCGGAACGACGGCCAGAAGCCCTGAGCAATCTGCAGAAACAGAGGAATAATAAACTTCCTTCGGGACTAGGGAGGCGAGCTCTCTCTGGTCCCCACCCTCCCTCGCGGTGACCATTAGGATCGCTCTAGAAACCCCTCAAAACAAACTAACAAACATACAAACAAAACATCTAGAAATGACAGACAACAACAAGGGAAGCTTAGAATCAGACAGGAAATGACCAGAGTGGATTCAATCATGCCTCACTAGGTAGGACACAAAGATTAATTACTCCTCACTGGGGTATTGAGGATTTCTCTGCACATCCCTCCAAAAAAAAATGTTCTGTACCTAAACTGAGGACACATGTCTTGCTAGAGTTATAAGCCAGTTCAGACCATCCGAAAACAACTAAGTTCAGCAAAATCAAGCTTCAACACTATAAACAGCTAAGTACTAAAATAAAAATAGACACGAGACAGCGGAATAGTAATCTATAGCCATTTTAAGGTGTATGTAATCCAGTTGAATATAAACCAAAAATTGAAATGTCTATGAAGAAGTCACAGGATATAGTTAAGAACCTGCATTTTCCTATTAACATATTGCTAATCAATACCATGTCAATTAATGCCATAAGGTTGTAAATTGTTGTTGATGTTATGTTGGGACTTTTAATTGATGGGGATGATACTTTGCTGGCTTTACCTTCAGACCAGAGATGGTCACACCAAGAAATCGTTGAACTCACTAGGATAACAAGACGCTGGACTTTATGGTTGGTAAATACTTCTAATGAAAGAACCTCAACTGAATTTGAACTGTGGTAATGCAGCAAGGTGGAGAAATCCACCATGGGGAGAGGGTTCGGGGATGGGTGGGGAGAATCCCAGTGCCCATAACACTGTGTCACATAATGCAATGTAATTAATTTTAAAAATAAAAATTAATTAATTAATTAGAAAGAGTGAGAGAGCAATGGAGAGACAGCCAAACAGTCTCTGTGGTTTGTTTTTCATTTCAATTATATAAAAATGGAACCACTGGGGCTAGTGCAGCAGGCCAACCCTCTGCCTGTGGTGCTGGCACCTCATGGATGCAGGTTCATTTCCCAGCTGCTCCGCTTCCTATCCAGTCCCTGCTTATGGCCTGGGAAAGCAGTAGAGGATGGACCAAGTCCTTGGGGCTCTGCTCTAGCATGGGAGACCAGGAAGAGGCTTTTGGCTACTGGCTTCGGATTGGCTCAGCTAAAACCACTGAGCCCATATGAAGAGTGAACCAGCAACTGAAAGATCTTTCTGATTCTCCTCTCTGTGACTCTGCCTTTCAAATAAAAATAAAATCTTTTTTAAAAAATGTAATTGTACAGTATTAACCATTTTGTGTCTGCTTTTTCACTTAAAGACTTTTTTTAAAGATTTATTTATTTTTATTGGAAAGGTAGATATAGAGGAGTAGAGACAGAGAGGAAGATCCTCTGTTGGATGGTTCATTTCCCAAGTGGTCACAAAGGCTGCTGCTGAGCCAATCTGAAGGCAGGAGCCAGGAGATTCTTCCAGGTCTCCAATGCAGATGTAGGGTCCAAGGTTTTGGGCCATCCTTGACTGCTTTCTCAGGCCACAAGCAGGGAGCTGGATGGGAAGCAGGGCCTCCGGGATTAGAACTGACACCCATATGGGATCCCAGCATATTCAAGGCAAGGACTCTAAGGCTAGGCCATTGCACTTGGCCCAATTTAGTCTTTTTAAAAATAATAATAATAATTATTATTATTACTGAGTAATGTTCAATTGTATGAATATACCACATTTTTTTCATTCATTTGTTGCTGGAAACTTGGCAAGTACAAATCTTGTTGAAATATATTTATATTTATCTGATATAAATACTAAAGAGTGGAATCATAGACTCACATAGAAAGCATATTTTGAATTTTACAAAATAAACTGCTGGACTATAAATTGCTGTGCCATTTAATGTTCTTACTGATAAGATGTGAAAGTTTTAGCATCTCCACATTCCTACCTGCCTCCACTATCCATCCCCACATTGTAGCGTAGGTATGGTGATAACACATTGTGGTTTTATTTTTATTTCCATATTGATTTATTTTGTAAAGGGTCCTTTCATGTACTTATTGCCATTTACATGTTTTATTTTATACACAGGTGAAAAATTACAAAAAGCATTTTCATAAACAGCCTGTTTAATTTCTTGGTCCACCTTTTCTTCTTATTTTTCTTTTTGCTACTTATTATTGAGTTTTTAGAGTTTTTTACACACTCTGAATATAGTAAATTCTGTCAGATATCTGTTTTGCAACCTTTCCCTCACAGTTTATGACATTTTTCTTTTGAATTTTGATGAAGAGCAGTCTATAGACTTCTTTTTTCCTCTTCTGGATAGTGCCTTTCTGTTTCCTAAGAAATGTTTATTTTCTCCAAAGTTGTAAAAACTTTATCTTACTTTTTTTGTCAATGAGCTTATCTTTTGTGTGCTTGAATTGGTTTTCTATTCTTGCTTCAATCTGTTTATTCTTTGTAAATAGATATCTCAATCCAGCATTATCTGCTGTGAAGATTATTTTCTCATTTAATTATTTTGGCATCTTTGTCAAAAATCAGTTGACCATAAATGTGTGGGTTTCTTTCTAGTTGTCTTATTTTGTTCCATTTTCCTATATGACTGTTTTTGCCAACACCAAACTATCTTGATTTCTATATCTGCATAGTAAGTCTTGGTATCTGATAAGTGCAAGTCTTTCCCATTTGTTACTTTGGAAAATTCTTCCTCATTTGCATAAAAAGATTTATTTATTTTTATTTGAAACACAGAGTTACAGAGAGAAGGAGAGAGAGAAAGAAAGAAAGAAATCTTTCATTTGATGATTCATCCCTCAAATGCCCACAACAGCCTGAACTGAGCTGATCTGAAGCTAGGAGCCAAGAGCTTCTTCTGGAAATCCCAAGGGGTGGAGAGTCCAAAAACCTGAGCCATCTTCCACTACTTTCCCACGTCATAAGCAGGGAGCTGGAATGGAAGAAGAACAGTATCCATATAGGACACTAGCACCAAAGGCAGAAATTCAGAATGCTACACCACAGAGCCAACCTCCAAATCTTTTGCATTTCTACATATGTTTTTAGTATCAAAACATCAATGTTTCAAAAATTTGTTGGATAGTGATGAGTTTAAGTTAAATCTATAAGGGGTCGGAGCCTTGGGGTTGGGGGCGGCTTGCAGCTCCCTACAGTGTGGTGGCTGTGGGGGGTGCCCCTGCTGGGCCGGATCCAAGGCTGGGGACTCAGGGCAAAGCCACTGCCAAAAGGCAGTGACTGAGTCCTTGGCTTTGGGCAGCCAGAACACCAAATAGTGCTAGGATCTTCCTGCTGGCCGCCTGGCAGCAAACTCTGGGGTTTTTAGGATATGTAATTGCTGCCTAGGGACATCCATGAGTAAGGACAGTGTTAGTAGATGTTAGAGATGAATTCTAGGTGATTCCTGGTAACAGGGCCATGAAACTTTCAGACAAGCATGGGGACTTGAGACCTGATGGTTTGGAGGGCAGTGTCCATAAGATCTATTTGGGCCAGACTGATTCACCAGCCTGCATGGGAGTCCTGAGATGGGCTGTTAGCATAGAGCATCACTGATGGCCACATACCAGTCCACACCAAAGCTATGGATGAGGGCCTGTCTGGCAAGGCTAGGTACCATTTCTTGACTGGGTAGTGGAATAGTGGAGTGGTCACATTTAGCATGCAAGAGAACTTGGTCCAGGGGTAAATTCTCTGTGGGGGAAGTGTGGGCCCAATCCTGTGGAAATTCAAGTATTGCTGGTTAGCTCGTGAGCTGGGGTGGTGATGGGCTAAGCTAGGAGTGACCATGGCACCTGCCATCACTTACGGGTAAAGAAACCAATGGCAATCTGG